GTTGTGTTTGGTACAAGTTGATACATGTAATATGATGATAACCAAATTAGATTTAGCAGTAATATTAGCATTCCGCAATGTAGCTTAACAATGAACCAGCACAGATTTCACATCATACATGTACATATACATTACTCAACTTATAGATGATGGTAAAGGTCAAACTTACAAATAAGTCGAATGTTTTAACTGGTAGCCTACTTTGCTGACACAACTCAGAAGCAAAATGTTGTATCATACGACTAATAACAAAAGTCAGTGTTGGTACATATGTATATAGTAAGCTCCTCCAATATCCACAAATTTTGATACATGTACCTGCATCAGAATCCCTCTGCCAAGCCAGCGCTCAGTAACACACAGTCAAGTCTGCCACAGGAAAAGTTACTTGTCAATGATTAATGGAGAGACTTGAGATTCTTAGCGCTGGTGATGAACACTGACCTTCTGACTCCTTCAGAAGTGAACACAGTAAACCGGCTGGAATGGCAAACACCAGGGGACGCCGGGATTTACTTTGTTTCCTCGCACATGGAAGGTCCTGATATTTCTTTTATCCGTTGGTCCTCCTAACACCAAACACGAATCCCTTTGTCCTGGCAGTAATGACTTTTGGATAAATGATTTATAGAAGCGGCCGTTTGAATACTTGGAAGATGACCTCCCTGCCTGGGTGAGAACAAGCGCTGGCTCCTGGTCGTAATGCCGCCAGACCAGGGGACCTACAGGGACGTGCCCCATCCATCTATTATCTGCATGGCCAGTTAGCTTATACATTGGGAATGAACAGAAATATGAGGTGTCAAGCCTGATGTAGAGTTCATATTCTGTGGAATATTAACTTTTATGATCATATGGCGGATCAAATATTACTTCAGCAGATGACCATCATCTCGTAATCATGAGGTCATAATTGGATGGGAGGTCTGCCCCAGCGATGCCATCTGTAACCTCCACACGGACGTCCAGGCCAAAATTGCATTTTTCCCTACTCACCGGAGGTCAAGTGAGATTGCATGGTCAGTAAGTTTAGCATGTATGGCAGGGAGCATGGAGAGGGCTGGGGCTCGCAGTACTTGTGTTCATTTTTCCCTCTTTGGCTCATTTACATGGTAGAAAAAAAGCACTTAACTTAATTTTTGTCAGTCAACAAAATTAAACATTTTGTGTAGGTGTAATTAAACGTAAAGCTCTCATGAACTATGAAAATAATTGTTTCTATACCTATATTAGGGTACAGATATAAATGATTATCTAATGGCTTATGGTGGTGTACATATATGACTTTTATTGTTATGTTCAACTTCATATTGTACTTGATGCCCTTTTCTTTTTTTACTGGGATCTGTAGTTGAGATACTAAGGTATCACTATGACAAGTAGAAGCTTAGATGATTATTGTGGGCGGGTAAAAACTAAACACTTATCAATCTGTTTGGTTAACACTACCCCACCCCAGGCCCAGCTAGTGAACCCACCCACAGAGTTCTGAACCTGATAAATCATAAGATAATTCTGCCTGTGCAGCCCACAAAACCTGCACTTTCTGGGTCAGAAGTCAAGCAGTCAATGCCGGCGCTCCCAGGTCCCAGGCTGCTGCACCAAGTCTTCATGTGGCTGACATTTGCTCCTGGTCAGAAGGGGTCAAAGAGATGGAGCATGAAAGTTTTGTCTGCCTGGCTGATAAATGTAGACAGCTAGTAAACCAGCAGTGGGTGATGATGTGCTGGTCAGGACGGGTTACAGGTCCTGTAAGTCTTGTAGCAAAAAAATCACATTGTGAGAATGTTAAAAAAATACTCTCTGTCTCTCTGACAGTGTGTTTTGAGTCATAAAAATGTACCAAGATTTTTTTTTCTCAGGCATCATTGTTGTGGCCTAAGCAATATGAGTTAATTGTCCTTTTGGCCTTGTGTAGTAAGTTATGTTTACTCTTTGGTAAACAAGATGTACCGCTCAATAGTGTAAGGTCCTCTACAGTATGTATGGTTGTCGATAGGATAGAATACCACTCTTTACAACCTGTCGTAATCAGTTTTGTGACCCGTAAAGTTGGCTACGGGATTTCTCTTATCACCGTACCCTGTATAATTCGAATTGAAACACTTTTGAATCTGAAAGGCCTGAAAGCGACAAGTTATCAAGGCAGATGGGGCTGATTTCCCAACTGCTTTATGGTGCAACGTAATTTCTAATCTGGTCCATTCTTCCCTGGGAGATAATGTTATCAGGCCTTTTACCACTGCAGGCCTGATTTCGCTCCCTGAACAGTCCAGATCAGGACAATAATGCCGGCCCTAATAAATCCTCTTAGATTTTATTGATGGTTTAATTTTGGCCTACAGTTGTGCTGAGATGCCTTATCGTGGCACTCATGCTGGTTTCATTATGGCAAGGCCTGCAGTTGAATAGGAAGTTCAAGTAGGGTTAAACATTCTGCACACTTATTCATTATCCTGACAGCCAGCTTTGGGGATCATCCCTCAAGTTCATGCCTTCCTCTAAATGAAACACAGAATGATTTCATAGCACATTTCTTGATTTTGACATCTTCCCCCAATAGAAACCGTTTGCTTACATGGAAGAAGTTGCCAATTTTCGTTATTGACAAATCTTTGATTACGAAAGCAGGCAATTTTACTTCGTTTGGAAGAAAGGTCCTCATCAGTGCAAGCCCCTTTGATATTAATAATCGGAGCAGCCAGAGTCTAATAATCAACACAAGAGTAAATGTGTCAAGTACCCTGGGAACATAGTAGTATGTATTAACGGCTTGCGTTATATGAAGCCTGTGCTACAGGAAATTGTGAACAAATTATTGCTGGTCATAATTTGCTATACTACCAATAACTACAACCAAATATTGAGTTGTCCAGTGCAATTGCTTTTATGTAAGGTTCATGTAATCATGTTTCTCTGTTGCCTTTATTGCCTTTTATATTACCCATGGAGGTAGAGAGAAATTTCAGGTGTATAAGGTAAATCATTGTGGACATGGCAGGGCATTTAGTGTCAGTGATGACATAGCAGCAAGGAACACATAGTTAGGCTGTACTATGTGGGAAATAGAACATTGTAATTCTGCACTATTATTTGTGTAAATAGTGTGAACCTGTACTATTCTTAGTGTCAACACCTTAAGGTCAATATATACTCCGCATAAACATGTGTCTTCACCTCTTATAAGTCTGTGTACTAGCTTTGAAAATGTTATGAAATTATAGGGTCGACAAATAACTTTCACCATTGAAATTGTATTTTGGGAATAATTAATGGTTGAATGGGAAAAAGGAAGGATGTGTCCAGTGTTTTCATAGCATTTGGTCTTTTGTATGGTTTGAAATGGGAAAGGGTAAAGTGTTGATTTCATGCTTGAATGGGGAAAATTCATCAATCATATATTTGATATTATGTCAATTATGAATTAGATGGCTCACTGGACTCCTGATTCAATGGTTGAGGAGTCAATCTCTGTTGGTGCCATGACCATTAGCATGATCTGTTACAATAAAGTAAATTTTATTTGCTTTATTTCACTATATCTAAAAGTGGGTAATTCTGAATCACAAGTTTCATTCAGGATTGAATAAGACAGACTTTAACTGATTAAGTTATAGAAAGTTACCTTAAGTGGCTGATTTCCTCATAAAAATTAAGAATTTAAGGCTGGGTTCAAGACATAATTATACCTTACACCGTGAACGTATGTAGAAAACTAAGGTATAAGTTTTCTATACTGTTACCTGACACTATTTGTGTACGTTTTCTGTAGACTGCATTGCACTGGGGTGCCAAACATGGGAACCAAGAGATTGTAGCATTGATGGCTGATGCAGGCCTTGATGTCAACCTTAGATCGGTAAGTTACAATGTACTTTTCTTCATCCTTGGTGTTGTCATTTGGGATGTGGTGTTTTAAAATATTTGATATCCATTGTTTTGAACCTGATTTATTTTCCTATTTCATATTCAAAATTTCATGTATGTGTGCTTATAATATCATGAACACTTAACTTGGTAATACATGTATTGACTTTTGAACAAAAAAGTTTGTATAGTTTGATAGACCTAAAAGTGCAACAGTAAGGAGTTTTCCAAGTGTGTTGAGCACCTACAGTGTACGCCTGGGCTAACCAAGTCCCTATATTTTACACGCTCTCGTTCATGACACAATGGATTTTCCATCACGGCAGCATGTGAGTATGAAACCTTCATCATTTCTAATGTCCGAGTCAAACTCTGATATGAAAATTAATAGCATATTCATGAAGAGCCAGACTTAATGGCTTCCTAGGGGAACGGTTATTACAACAATGCCGGCAGGAAATTGCCCGGGAGGACCCGGCACTGACACACAAATTTCCCAAAATGTGCAATTTTTGCCGGGTAATTGATTGATTCTTGGCATTTTCATCAAGATTCTGTGGAGTGTGGAGGCACGGGGATCACTGGAATGAATTTGGCATTATAGAAGTAATGAGCCTGAAAATAAATATCTGGTTACTTCAACAAATTACTGTAGCCACAAGGCCATTTGTCATCTGAGGTTGGCTGGTTCTGTTGTGGACAGTTCTTCAATACCAGGCCTATTGCAATATCAGGATGGTACCTAGTGCTCTCCGCATGACTGCTGAGAACCATGATAGTTGATGATCCTTGAAGGGATAGAGAAATAAAGTCCACTCAGGAACATACTTTTTTCAGGGGGATATTGTAGAAGTTTTGATACTGAATCTGATGTTATCAAACATTTCTATTGACTTTCATGAAAGTTTGTTCATGCCAAACTTTATTCATTTTTATCTTCAGAAGTCTAGGCTAAAGAAACGCAGTCATACCATGAAAAATGATTATTAATTCTATACCTCTGGTAATTATGTGTGTGATTATTGTTGATAGTGAGATTATCCATTATGAACTGTATTGTTTGTATTCTGCATGCTCTGACAAGCCTAGAAATTCTTGGGTCTTATTCTCAAACAATTCATATTAAATTTTGCTCTTTCATGCAAAAGCTATAAAACTTTTGAGATACATGGTCTGTTTTTATGGCTTTACCCTAAATATTTCATACCATTGATGATCTATTAGATGACTTCTGGTTTATTCATTGCCAATCCATTTGCAAAGGTTAATACAGGCTTGTCAAACAGAGCTTTCTAATATCTTGGCAGTGTCCTCTCTTCATATTTCATAATGCTGATTTAATTATTAACATGTGATATTGTGTGTTTGTGGCCCTGCTACCTGATAACTACTGGTACCTGATGGATGTGGACATGACAGGGGGTAAGTACATTTCTTGCCTGGAGCAAAAGAAAGCCTCTGTTTTATTTATATTTCTTAATAAGGGTCAACACATTCTGATATTTATCGCTGTTATATGAAACTCGGCTGTACCAGCTGGTCTAAATTTTGTGACTTCTTTTACGAGCTACAGTTTATCAACAGTGACTTGGATGAAAAGTTTATTTACTGTCATTCATAGTTTTGGATAAAGTCCATAATTCTTTGTCATTGATCCAAAGTTTTTCGCTATGTCATACAAGAAATGGAGGATTTTTCACGTTTATGGGATAGTAGGAGTAGCCAAGTAATAATGTGTTGCTAGTATTGACTGTTCACACAATTATATAATAAATACAATGAGTAATGGCTAGCTTATGAATATATAAGTGAACAGGGCAGCTTAGTTTTCCTCATATTCCAAACATCGTCATCTTTGTAGATTTTGCATTTCGTGACCTGCAGTTTGAAAGAAAGCAGCTAGGTGTATTGCCTTATTTCACAATCATGATCTTTGCCCAAATCCAAGTTGTTGCTTCTTAAGATGCACTCACAAGATAAAAATAGACACTGATAAATGTGCTTTTGCAGAGATAACAAAGATAGTTTGTGGTGCTGGAAATTAATGATACTATTATAATACCAGTCATTTTCTGAGTCATCATGAGAGTATAAAGAACTAACTTTTAGATTAATTCATTTCATTGGCATGACACTGAGTCAGAAACCCACAAATCAGACTATGAATAATGACCTCAGAAAAAAGTTCAAAACATAAAAATGATTGATCAAAAAACCCTGCCGCGTAAATATACCCTGATTGATGTGACTGTATGATGTTTGGAAGTTGTGAACAGTGACATACGGGAAGCTTGACCAGTGTCGTTGATATACTCATTAAAAGTTGAGATGCTCATCTATCAGAACATGGATTAATACCAGGCAGACCTTGAACCCTGAAACTTCAGACTGAAGGTGATGCTGATGAATCAAGGAACAGACAGGTCCATAGTGGCTGTCCAGGGTGGGATGAGAGAGAATTGCGTGGCCAGGTTGTCCCCTCTCTGACCTTTACTTGCCCTCGGTGATCCCTACAGAAATGGTAGGAGCTTTGATTAGAAAACAAAGAAGCATAAAAAAGATTACCCAGCCATTTTGGTGCCAGGAGCATCTCAAGATGTGCTCGTGATGACAAAGCAGGGATTTTTAATGATGGAGAGGAGAGAAGAGGCCATGTCTGTCTTTGATATTGAACCAGCTTGGTCACCATGGATGAGGGATGTTTGTCGTAAACCAGTGGTTTGACACCGCTGCAGGTGTATATTACACGCGTTTCGCTATTGTATTTTCAGATCTAACAGCTTGCGTGGCAAGTCGGCCACCCTGAAGACAGTTAACGATCTCTGGCCTGACCTTTGCAGTGTGATTGCCTGACACTGTTTGACACGGGGCAAATGATCTTACCAAGTTAACTTTCCTCGCCGTCGGCACAAAATTCGCTTCAGACGTAGAATTTGTCACTCTATTTTACATGTCACTGTTGAAACTATTTGAGAAATGTCCTCTACAGCTTAAAATAGTTTTGGAAATATAACATTTGGTCTGTGAATGGCGATTTTAGGAACAAAAACATCTGTTTCGTGGATGAGTGCTGTATGAAATTATGAATATCGTTTATGATGTAGCGATATCAAATTTAGGTTGCTGTATCAAAAACGCAGCCTGCAGCGAGATGCTCATTGCCCCGTGACCCCGGTAGCCTCCCGGCCTGCCACTGCTTGACACGGGGCAAGCTCGGCCTGTCTGAAGCCTTCTTGCCGAGGGCACAAAATTCATCATATCATTTCTGAATAGCCGTATTCATAACAAGAGGACAACTTAATGAGAGGTGTGAAAGGCTTGCATGACAGCCCGCTAGCATAGCAGATAGCAGGGTGCGTCACAGCTAACCCCTGCACATCAAAGGTTACGTCCCTGTCAAAAGTGCATCTGTGTCTGCCCCCCACACCATTAACGTCCATTACAGTTGGGCGTATGTTTCACCTTTTGTGCTCTCCCCTTCTCACCTGATCAGTAACTCTCACCTCCGGTCCAGGTGCTAGCACCAATTATCCTCTTAATGACCCAACCCATTGGAGTACTAATTATTCCACACCTATACCTTCAAAGAAAAATGGCACACCTTGTAATCACCAGAAATCTTTTATTCTAATTGTAGCATATGTTTGAGTAGACAGGTGTTGGCCTGTAGACTTGTCTGGTCTGGCGTGAGAGCCATCAGAAGGTGTTAATGTCAATATTGCCTAACTTGTCCCAAGCAGATTTTCACTTCTGTTGGTAGAGTCAACTGAAGTCATGGTACAATACATTTTTTGGGGTCAAAATATATTCTTACCAAAAGCAATGAAAAGGCAAAGAAAATACATCAACACCTATTTTTGTTGATATTTTATTTTTTGCATATCATTGTTTCTTCTTTTGTCAGCCTTTTTACACAACCATCACTGCTCATGAATGCACAAACAGGCATTTCATAGTACATTGCATATGGGGTCATTTGAATTCTGCAACGAACAATAGTGTTATTTTGTCCTATAGTGCTGTTTTTATCGTTTATAGCTCAATTATATGTCTTTTGTCAACCCATTAATTCCATCCAAGGACTCTTCACAACTGTTATCGCAACTATTAAGAGGAAACCCCCGATTATTGGGAACACCTGAAGCTAAAACACGAACAGACAATTATACGATGTTTGTAGTTACTCGTAAATTGTGCAATGTTGACATTTACTGGCTAAAAGAACACTACAAAAAGGACCGCTGTTTGTTACCATCAAGTTTTGCCCCCAGGGTAATTGTAAATCTGTAACTGTCCCAGACTGGGACTGTACAAGGTAAATGTAATCTAAGTCAGACTGTGTGTTGTTCTTTTACTTTAACTGTATATTCAGAGAAAATGTGGTTCATATTCACCAAACTAATGCTGATATGTAACACGTTTGTCCATTCTGTGGGTGCCATGTCATGCCTGTATGTAAAAGTTATAATGTCAGTTCAACCCTACCCAGCATGAAAGTGAAAGCTTATCTTATGAGCAAAGGGTAGAGGACATTTGATCAGGGTAGATCAAAGACATGGTCAGGACAAAGCAGGAGCTACAGGAAACATGGGGCACAGTGATAGTAACATTAGACAATGCTGGACACTCACAAAGGACCCAAGGACCCTTTGTGACATGGAATACCTTCCTGTCGGGGCGTTGGTCACTTGACACATTGCTTCATGTCTAGATCTTATTTATAACTTCTTGGCTGACTTCCACAGTTGTCAGGAAACTTTGCTGTCTATTGATTAGCCCTGCCTTCCCTTTGATAATAGACGGGGAGGGATTTTGTCGTCCGAGATTGTCCAACTCAAAGGGTCGTCTGTCTGTAAACCAGAAGTCAGAGGAGATAGTGTTGTCTGGTACTTAACCCTGACCAACAGTGAGGGAGGGGGGTAGATGGACAAGACTGATCTTGTTCACAAATTCAATAACAGGAAGGCTTTAAGAAACACCCTCAGAAAAAACATCAAGTAAATTCTTGCTTGATAAGGTTAACTGTTTTGTCAGTGGGAGCTATCTGTGCGATGTTGTGTGTGTAGAACAGAGATTTTCATGTTTTCCTCTTGAGACAGGAAAATGTGACACACTTACACTCCTTCCTGCAGCAGCTACATGCACTGTCCTTGCCTTGGAACTGTCTGCCTGTAGTTATCCACAAATAAAAGAGATGCTTAGTGTAAATTATTTGTTCTGATATTATATCTCCATAGACAGTTGTTACATAATGAATCAGCAACATAAACTGTTACAGTACAAATTCATCATAAGACAACACAGAACTAATTATAAGTTGATATTCATAAGTTTACTACACTTTCCTGTGTTTATTCAGTAAACCATACCTATTTGGGTTGATAAGTGTAATTTGTTTTAATGTTGATGATTTTTGTTTTCTTCACTCTTACAGGGTTATACTCCACTTCACCTAGCAGCAATGTACGGCCATGACCATATTGTCAAGCTCCTCATTGATGCATATGGTAAGGATGTCGATGATTTGTAAGTCTAAGCAGTGGCCAAGAGAGGGTCCCTCAGTTCAAGCAGGACCACATTCAGCCTTGCCATTCTGCCAAATTTCTCTCAGTAGAACAACATTCTGACTTGTTTCACACCCTCCCTGCAGCTATAGCAGCCACATGTTTCATGGAGAGGCAAACCTTTCCTTGGAATGTCTGGCTTGCTGGGGGCATGTCCAGAAAAGATGCTGCTGTTAACACTCCATAACCAGGTTTCTGTGTGGAGTGGTGCCAAGTGGAACACGCGTTTCGAATGAAGTCCCCTTTCCTTCCTTTCAAAAGGGTTTGTCACTTCCAATGGACAGACGGAGATGGAGTCATGTCTGTACATGAGCAGTTTCACAGACATTCGCTCAGTATTTAACTGGTTGAAGTCACGCAAAGGCACAGTTGTACGAGCATGTTCTTAATGTCTGTTCACTTTTCTTTTGGGTGAGGAAAGACGTTAAAATGGCAGGCCTGATGAGTGATGTTTTGCTGAAAAAGTATGGTTAAAACAGTAGGATTGGTACAACAATCACCTAGTACATGTCATATCTTTGATAATTTTGAGTGCTTCAAAAAGATGCCAGTCCCTTCTTTATGTTCAAATGCATGTTCTTATGGTGTTTACATGGGTATTGGAATGTAGAAACTTACAAACATCTCTTTCAGATGCCGATGTCACAATACGAGACTACAGCGGACGGAGACCAGGACAGCGCCTGCGGCCTGGGTCCTCCACAAATGTGGACGAAGTCGTTCAACGTAAGAAGCAGCGCAGCAGCAGCCTCTCTTCTTTCAATCCCCGCCACTCCATGAAAGACTTCAAGGAACTTGTAACAACCATTGGATCAGCCCTGAAAATGAAGGCACCACCTAAGCACCACTAAATTTTCATTTACTGGGTTCGACAAGTTTTGCGCTTGTCTGAGATCTTGGAAAGAGAAGACAAATGTTAAGTTGGTGTGAACACCATGGCATGAAGGGATTGATTAAGTCTGAATGTCTCCCACCTCTGAATACTGTTTCACCTTCAGAATAATCCATGCACCTTCACCTGAAGAAACTAGAGCTCTGCTAGACTCTTGTTCTTCACAGAAGTGGACGTGAAAGCTGTCACGCATGGGGATGTATCTTCATCAACTTCTTAAACCTGACTGTAGACCAGTCTTCTGAGAACTTCCCACCCTCCCCTCATCTATGAGGGTCAACTGTACTTTGTAGATTGTGTTTCTTGTGTGTTATTCTTTTCAAAGATCCTGATAATCTTTGAAAACCTGATGGCTCTGTGCTGTGAATTCAGTGTTAACAGCAATAGTATGTGTATCATACCCTCCGAATCTAATCATGACATGAAATTCTATTTAATGTAACTTTGGAATGTTAGCCGACTTTGTTGTAAGGTGTGGGGATAGATTTTACATTTAGTTATTTTACATTGGTATGTATTACAGTATTACTGTCACTAAAGAGCAGAGTGCCTGGGATGTATTGTAACTTAATGTTTCATAAAGCAGTAACAAATTATGTAATCGGTCATGGAACCTACAATAATATTGATATAAAAATTGTTGAAAGGTAAACAGATCAGAATATAACCAGAAATTGCAGAATTTTTTTTACTTGGAGGATGATGACCAGTAAGCAAGGGTAAGAAATTACCGTATGTAAAAAATTCTACAATAATGCCTTCAATCATGGAAAGGGAGCATTTAATAGTTGCTCCCATACTTCAGACATGACTAATTCAAGATGCAATAGTTAACACGGAAATTATTCTGGTGAAGGATTATCACTTATTAAGCCAAGGAAATGTATGATGCGTAATGTAACATGTTTTTTACAGAAGTTGCACTATATGTTGCACTGGGCAAAAGTAATCATTTTTGGGGAAGGGAGAGTTTAAAGTTTTTTAAGTAGTTCCAGTAGCCCCAGAAGTTGATTTATTGGAGAATTGATGAGTTGTGGCTGTAGCCTTGGAGGCTGTAACAGGATAAAGCCCCTCCACATTATTACACAGATAAGCATGTTTCTACAGAACTGTGATTACATCTGTTTGGTCCTTTCTGTGGGGAGATAAGGGCTACTGGGGAGAATCAAGAAACAATTAGAAGGAAAACTGTTTTCACAACTTCAATCATTGTTGGTCTGTAGAAGTGAAGTAATGAAAATGTATGAGGAGGATGGAGGGTCTGGCCAGGAAATCAATGGTTGGCTTCCTGCAAAATCAGCAACGATTTAGACAAACTGAGCTAATTTTCCATCAAGTTTGTGCCGGGGTGATACGTCTTCATAAAGCAGCCGGCGGTTCATAAGTTGGCGGGAGAGATGTGGGTTCAGCGTGCCTCACTATCGATCCTGGTGATGATGTGCTCTCTGACCAAAGGTGTTGGTGGGCAGATAATGTTGATGTCCTGTTGTGACAGTGAGAAATGGCTGCGATAACTTATCAGTAGTGTTACAATCACACCGCTCACCCCCGGCACTGATGGTCTTTAGATTTCAGCCTAATGCCAAACGGAATGTGCCGTTACTGGGAATGAGAAAGTCTCCTGGCCACAGCATGCCTGAACACCTGCTGATGGCAGAACTTTAGCCGCCTTTCGGCTTGAGCCAGGGAGGAAATTGATTGGTGAAAATTACACAGGGACTGCAAGTCTAGAATCTGATAGTTGCTGATTACAAAGGCCGGGTGATATCTACATGCAGCCGTGGTCATACGGACATGGCTGGACAACGGGAGATTATTAACCTTTCACATGTTGGACAAAAAATTGATGTAGGCTCCTCAAATCAGGGGAAGCTGGGGACATGGGGTGCAGAGATAAGGCATATTTTCTCATTTGCAACCTCATCTAAACATTTTGCAAAGTGATTAGTTTTCCAAAGGAGTGGGATGAGTGGACTTGTTGCGTAGGTTAGGTCTGGAGAACTGACAGAGTGTATTTTTGTACCCAGTTTCCTTGCAATACTTAAGTAAGAAACTACTGTTACAAGTCTAGCTTGTACTTGTGCAAAATATCCTTACTTCCTTGGAGGTTTGTTCTGTTTCCTGTTTACATGATGGAAACAGGCTAACCTCCTTGGAGCTGGGGAGCAGTTGTGGAAAGAAATAATGTGTCGTAACAAGACTTTTTGTAATAAACTTATTCTGGTAGAAATCTCATAGGTGTGTCTGTAGTCCATGTACACTGTCCTCTCTCATCAAGCTGGAAAGCTCTGTTCTGCACCAAAGGGTTTTCAATATCGGTGCCCTCTGAGATCCTAGGGATTTCTGTTGTCACCTGTATGACCCCATAGGTGTGTCTCTTAATGTGTGTGCCCACCTCCCTATCACTACTGAAACACCTCAGCCCATCGCTGTTATTAGTTGTGGCTGCAATAAAGCGTTCCAGTCCATGTAAGAGCTAATATGTGTGTGTATGTTGGGCCCAGGGCAGGCCGGTCATCACCCTGTCAGACCTGTGACAGTGATGGAGCAGGCTGCCTTATCTTTACCTGTGGGGCCTTGTGTAGGCATGTTGTTTCCTCTTACTGTGCTAGAATTGGGACATGTGGGGCCTTGTGAAACAGTGTTTTACCTGGCACTACAGGGTAGGTGTGTGATACCCAACATGGACAACACAAAGCTGTTCCACACAGTGTCCGTACCCCCTCAGGTCCGGTGATCTGTCCACCTGTTTGTCAGCTGATTTGCCCACCTGTAGTTCAGGTGCTGATCCTCCATCTCCCACCCTGACATTGATGGAGTGCTGCACCTTCTCCTAACCTGTGAGTGGAGCTCTCCCACCTCCACCCGTCCTCCTCAGGGTCCAGCCTGTTGCTTCCTCCTGCTGACCTGGGGAATCCCTCTGTGAGCTTTATCTCCTTTCCTCCCAGCTATTCTCACATCGCAGGCAATCTTTCACCCTCCTTTGTTATCATCTGCTGCGGAGCAATTGCTGCCCTTTATCATGCCCACCTGTCACACCTTTCATTGATTCTTCTCAGTGTTGACTGCCCAGGTGAGAGGTGGTGATGCTCATGTCATCACCCCACCCACCCTTCAAACCAGAAATAGTAATTGCATGCATTGTGTTCGGTGGTCAAAGTTGTTGCTTGTACATATCCCAGCATGCCATGAGAGCTCTTTTGCATTAATTTTGGTGCTACACATGTAACAATCATCTTTCTGTTTGGGTATATGTGCTAAGGTTTTGTCTAACATGTCTAATTGGTGTGGCTGGGGTGCTAAATCATTGGCAAAAATCCATGGCTAACACATTTTTAAAAAGTTTTACTTATCAGTGACATTTGCAGCTTTGTTGTGAAGCACACACATACTTCACTACACACTAACACTATATAGCCTGGTTACCAAACCTATTATAGCTCCAGAGTCCTGCCTACATCCTCTCTGCAAATAGAGGATGTAGGACATTGGAGCTATACATGTAATAGGTTTGGTAACCGGGCTAAACACTATCAACCAAAAACCCTGAATAGTGATGAATCACTTCGATACATTTCTGTAAGTTACACTGTAAAGTTGAAGCCTCAAGTTGCAATTCCACCAGTCTGACTCCAACTCCAGTTGGACCCTTTCCATGTCCAGATCAAGTGTGCAATACCACAATTGCCCCTGTCTATCAAAAACACAATAGCGGGTTGCTGAAGTACTTGTAACACTCGGTTTGACCATCAGTGACCTTTGATTTCGGGACAAAAGGCAGTTGTTACAGAGTTGAACTTCAGTTGAACTTTAGCATCACTAACAGAACCAATATTCCTCAGGAAGATGATGCCCACTGTCAAGTATTGCTCCAACTTCCTGTCAGAATCAGTTACTGTACTTGTCACATGCATGGAAATCTCACAACAATATTATCTCTAGTGTGTATTAAGGCTGCTACAGACCTTGGGTTATGATCATTTGCAATTGTCTGCATGGCAGATAATACGCAGACCTTTGGCCAACCAGCAAATGTTCCCCTTTTGATCAGAATGTTTTGCTGAAATTTTTTTTTATAAACTGGTCAAGGAGTTACATGTAATGTTATGTTCTTTATCACAAATTTTATTGCACTTCATTTTTTTAAAATTGTAAAACATGCATTGAGAAGTCAAGGTTCAAACTATGAAAATTTGTTGACACAAGGATTTAGGTTTGACCATTTGACTTTGGACCCCTTTTCATAAAAAAGATGATAAAATCTCAACTTGCTGTTGAAACCTACAGCACTGTATGCATGAAGGAAGTTGAAAGTTACTGAAGTATTGACTACTTTTTAGTTTTGCATAAAATTTGCTTCTTGCAGTTTGCCTGTGCAAGAAGCTTTCATCATGTCCCTGGCCTGTGATTGTCCATCCTGTAGCACTGATGTGGGTAAACAGCCCGCTTATGCCACACATGTCGGTACATCAAGACAAACAACACAAGTTACAGGCGTTCAAAACAAGAACAATCAAAACATGAAAACACGACATGTTTTCTGTGAAACAAGTTTACAAAGTAGTTCGCAAAACAACTTCAGACAATAGCTTACTGGAAGGAGCTGTGGATTTATTTATGATTGCTGGTGGAATGTCTTTAGGGACATGTTGTCACAATACATGTACAAGGGAGCAGGGTGTTGTAAATAGGCAGTGATTTCTTATCGATCAATTTATCTTCATTCTCATAAAAGGGATCTAGCTGGTAGATAAGCAGCATTGTGCCTGTTACCCAGGGACAGAACTGTAGTGTCCGTCTGTCAGATTACACCCCAATCTTCCTGTGTCATGCTCAATTATTCATAAGACACTGTTTTTGGCCCACTTTCTTTATTAGGACATGAACAAAATCTCTCCATGAAAGCTTTTGTAAAGTTTGTTTGAAGGAGGTCTGAATTTGAACAGTGGTCATTCCAATAAGCTTGGTGGTCCAAAGTTGTTTTGCAAACTGTTTCACAAAAACATGGCATGCTTTGGTCATCCTTGTTATGAAAGCAATATATACCGGTAATATATTGGAGATCTGTTGTTTCTCTTGATGTACCGACATTTGTTGTTAATCAGGACCATCTTTTTGATGGTTGAATTGCCGCCAAGGACGTATAACATAAAAGACAAAGGAATGAACTCTTGCTTTGATATCTGTTGTTGCCTCTTTTAGCATATCCATCAAGCAAAACTTCTATGGTAAGTCAAGATGTTCCCAAAGTAATTTTCATAATAATTGTGGTGTTGGTAGCATGACTATGGGCAATTTGCTATTGATTGTACCTTGTACTTAAATGTGGTGCTGAAGTGAATAAAGACTCCTAGACTTGAGCATCTTCCAACTCACCTTCAATGTCCCTCCCTTTTTTTCCCTCAGAAAAGCTGCATGTGGCATCAAAACGTAAGTAACTTTTGATATTACATACTGTTATAGCAATAGGAAAGTTTTATGTAATGTTGAAATAGTAGCACCCAATCAAATACGCCATTCCCTGTTCCTCAACTCTCTTTTGATGTTTAATTTATTATTGCTTGTCATCTGACACATGGTGTTCCCCAGGGGTTCGCTATGGGCCCACCTCTCAGCAGGTAAAGTGGCAAATGGCAGGGGCAGGGTGATGTGTGAGCACATGCTGCATCCCTCAGGGCTAACAATCACAACAAAAGTGGTATGGCACACAGTGCTAACCTTACCATGTCTCATTGATGAACTGATAAGAGGTAATGAATGATATTTACACGCAGATATGCATGTCACTGACTCATGGGAGAAGTTCAACAACCTGTGGGGCTAGTGGAAAAAATCTGTGCACTTTGATGCTCACACTGTCCTATATGTATACCATAACTAGTGCCAGACAACAACCTCAGTACCCCCTTTACTGTGAACTCTAAACTGACAAACTACAAGCATGATTCATTTTGACACCGAAGGGAAAACAACTAGAGAAGAAAAAAGATAAATCTGGACCGATGTTCTCTTTTCTTTAATGAGGGCCTGCAAGGGGGGGTCCCGACAACGCTCTACGCTGAATTCGGAACCTCTCGATTACGCTTTACGATAACTTCCAAGTGGCTACAATGCATTACGTAGAATTAAAACGCCAAATACGCTCTACGCAAAAATTTTAGAGCCGTCCGTTTACGCTCTACATAGAATTAAAACGGCCGATTACGCTCTACGGAAAAGGGCTTGTGGGCTCCCTTTAATGACTACTATTCCTACTGTTGAACCAGTGTATATGCACCCACAATAGTTTACAGTGATATTACACATCTACAACTGGAATGATGATGATAATACTAGTATGTTGATTTTTTTCAACTCAGGGCTCAGTCCCACCCAACTGCTTTCTAATGCAATGTTTTGCTAGAGATTCAACGTTTGTTTATTTTTTTTGCGATTTACCGGTACTGTAGCTTACCAGTGCATGATCAGACTAAACCCATGAAAACCCATGTCCATCACATTTTCTGAATCAGCCAGCCAAAAATTCATTCAACTAAAGTTAACATAGGCAAGGGCCTTGGTTTTGCAAATAGATGAAATGCTAATCCTGACTTTGCCTGGATAGAGATGAACTGATAGGGGAAGGTGAGGTTTATATCCCCAGAGTAGGAAGAGTCTTATCATTTTGGAGATCTCAGGGTTTCATCCCAGCTTTTTATGTCTGCGACAATGAGCACCCAAGGTCCCCGGAACCCCAAGAGATGAGGTATCTGTAATGATGGCATGTCCTTTTGCTGTCCCTGTTGGAGATGTGACAAAAGGGCAGGAGGAATTAGACTTGAAGATGAGTGTTAAGTGTTTTGAGTGAGGGCAGGAAGGCACCTGCTGTCAGGAGGGTGGGACTCAGACCTGTCTCTATGGAGCTGTGTGACCCTCTCATCTCAGTCTTTCACCCAGTACTGATTGTACCATCTCTACTATTGTCTACTTGATTGGATGGGTGTAATGGTAATGAACTTTATAACAGGTTCAGCCTATGAATGGTGTTACTGTTCAACCTTGAGGTCTATGTGTTAATATAGGATGAAACCATGATAACACTCACTTAGAAGGAACAGTCTAGTAGACTCTTTAACATATGGTAGGGCTGGACTTGACAGACTTACCAGTACAGTGTACATTCTGCGTATCATTTATTGTTTGATATAATTGTTTACCTTACAATATATGCATATCTTGTACATTATTTGCCATAACTGTAGGGAGGTGTTACATTGACTATATAATGTCCTAAATAATTATCCTGGTTGTGTATAATTGTACATGCCTCATGATATATGTTGCCATAAAAGTGACTGAAACTTTATGTCCAAATATTTCTTCTCAAAACTAATGACATATTTACAACTCCAGTCAAATTTACCTTTATGAGAAACTGCACTTATTTCATGGCCATCTGGAAGACAAACCTCTAACAGTTGTGTGAAATTTATGGCCGTAAAGTTTTCCAGTTTAAAAAAAAATTGTTGGCAAAGTATAGGAGTTGTGGAGATCTTTAATAAATAATGTTTACATTAGGAAGGCATGTGTTCGCATTTGAGAAGAGAAATTTACTGTCGTCATCGTTGTATATCAGCTATAAATTCCCCTGCTTTGTTTCCAGTAGTTAGTTTAAGGTGTCCTGAGATGATTTCAGATCCTTGCGTGACACCCCGTTCTATTTTTCCCGGTTTCTGGAAGACAAATGGCAAAGAAGGGTAGTTTGCGGGTCAGGAGACAGATAGCAATCTAGCCTGCATTAATGAACATATGTCATCAATTTATTCATGTCGCCCAAGCAGATTCCATTAACAGCGCCATAAAATGGGCCGTTGGCTGCCAGATATTAATATTTCATACAAATGAAACAGGAAAAGAACAAAGTATGGCCATGTCGAGTGGCTTGTATCACATTATTAATGTAATTATAGTGTGGTCTATCGTCTTCTCAGGAAGTGAATGTTCTTAACCATGACCCTGAACATTTACGCGGTCAAAATGTGTGAAATGTTGGAGCTAAGCTGCAGACTTGTTGGCGTTGCGACTGCCTCGTCTTGCCTTTGTTTCAATTATGAGAGATTTGTTGCACAGATAAGCATTGTTTTGCCCTCTCCCAGTCTGGGAAGGTTTCATGAAAAATTTACACGCCGAACAAATGAGGTAGGTGTGCGGCAAAGTGTCGCTGTCACGTCTGGTTTTATCTTTAACATCAGCGGGGACCATACAAAGGCCTATAGGGCAGGCGGGGAGAGATCCTATTGTCAGCTCCCATAGTGATTGTCAGACGTAACATGTCACGAGGTTACTATGATAAACCCATCAAGAGAACATGACATAAATCACCTTTCAAAAACTCAAAGATAAAAAAAAATCACTACTTCTTCCATCATTACATGTACATAGGTCAATGTAAGAGTGAAGATCCCAATATGCTGCACTTGACCAAATGCTAATCTATAATAGGAAGAACTTTGATCTTTTTATAATTAAAGTGTTCCCTTACAAATCTGTGTAAAATTCCAGATTACAAAGTGTTTGCATACTATAGAGAGTAATCCTAGACTTTTGTAATGATTTCATGGTAAATATAGTATACTGCTCCTTTTCGTTATAGATTACTGTAGGATTGGTGCATGTACCTTTTTCTCAGATTTCCCTTTGTCAAATAATTTGAGTTGCACCTGTGCACTTGTTTTGAATAAAAAAAGACATGATGACAATACCTATTACAATTTCTGTCACCAACTTTCCTAATTTTTCCAAACTTTTGCTGATTTATTGGTGTCCCACAAGGGCCTTCCTACCTTTTGCCACCAGCACTTGGGAATGCAGCATTCGTGACCAAACACAATTAGCGCAGGAGACAACCATAACTTACCTGTGTCCAGAGATCATTATCAGGTGGGTTATTGCTAATATAGGACCATCTACAACTCAAAAAGGCATCTGGGGCCATCTGATTTGGGAATTTGTATTGAATTCAAAAATCATGTGCAACACAAGTATGTGTCCTGTGATGTCATGGTCATGACAATGTACTTCATTAATTGTGTAGTCATTATCACCCAGTATGTATGGTGTATATATACACTATACGTTTTATACTTTTTGTGTCTAGTACTATCGTTGTTCGTTGATTTTTATGACTTTAAAGTGCTTCGAAATGGTCAGATATTCTGCACACACAGATGACTTTGTGTCTCTTTTTGTGGGGTATTTTGCGGAAATGTGGTCCCCCATGATGGTTTGTGGTTGATCATACAAATGTACATGTAGGTTTCTGTATGCCAGGGGCAACATAGATTGTATCTGTATACGTGTGTCGGAGCACCTGCCTATTTTAGAAATCTCTCTTTGTCAGTCATATTCTAGCTTTGCTCTGGCAGATAATAACAAGCTTTTTCCTATGGAAATAACATGATGCTTTAGCCAATTATTGTGTTCAAACCCAAGCCTGGAGCATGAAAAAGGACAAGGTCAGTATGCTTTCATGTCATAACCGCATGTCAACATTGATTGCTGAGCAAATGAATGTGTTTTGTTTCATAACTCTGTGGGATAACAGAAACCAGGGTGACATCCTCCACAGTGCTTACAAACAAATATGACCCTCCGCTATAAGCTTTGACGTCACATCACACCGTCAATGGGAGCTGCCAGCCTGTATGTGGCGGGTCCATGGTGGGCCAGGGCTTGTCCCAGGAATGTAGATGCTTATCTGGTAACACACCTAGAGTCTAGTTATAAAGAACATAGAGCCTAGTAAAGAACATTGCACTTCACTTTGGGGCAATAAATGACAGTCTCAGAGCTGGTCTATGCCTGGTGGAGAGGCTTCTTTATGCAAGTCATTCCTCAGAAGTTTCAGTAATACAAATGTATCTTAACCCACAGTTGGAGTAGAACATGAAGGACTTTCTGTAATAAGTCCAGGTGGTCTTATCTAATTTTGTGTGCCCTTTGGTGTTTGTCAGAAGAAAGGTAGATTTGTATCTGCCTGTCAGCTCATGACAATATGACAATACCTGACAAAGTTTAACACACTCCAGCCCTCGTCTTGGGGCGAGGATTAGTCTTGTCGGCCTTTTAGATCTGTCGCTCAATTGTCACGCAAATGAGTTTCCAAGTTCGGGCTAGGTGGCAATGAATACAAAACAACAAGCTTCCGTATCGGGTCCATCTACATTGTAGCAATATGCAGGTTGCGCTTGTCTGACAAACTGGCTTGTTTGCTCCATAGCTGTCAGGGGCACAGGTTACCGGGGTGGTGTCCTCTCACCTGAGGTCTGAGCAAATATCACCCTCTGACACCTCGACAAGATAGCCGTTGGTTGTCAAGGCAATGGGATATCGCAGTTTGCTATCTCGCCATCCGTGACACGTCTGAGCGTTGTCGGAGACAACAGGTGTTGGCGGCGTGTCGGCACTTCATATCTTGTTTGTCCCCCAAACAATGGTGTTCATTATGTTTGGCAGTCTATAAACTCCAATTTTTCTGCAATAACAATGTTGACAGAGGCTGATAAGCCAGCCATATTTTGATTGTTAAATGTTCTGTATGAGTGTGTTTGCTTTCTCGGGCGTCCGGGTGTTGACTTGGGGCGACCTGCCACTCTGCGGTGCAAAAATGGCTCTCAGGAAGTGTTTTTCTGGTGGCGAGATTGTCATGACCAAAGTTCGAATTGTAAAGTTCAGTCAGAATAAATAGTACTCTTTCGACATTTGCTTCCAGACAGATGTTGTCACACATGTATGCTTGTTTAAGGGACAGTGGGAGTGTCATGTATGTACCCAGTGTCTGTCAATGTGTCAGAACATGTTATTCAAAGGAAGTGCACATTAATCAAAAGAGGGTCACCATACTACAAAGAGGAAGTTGATTAGATTAACTCACTGTGTGTCGTACCTGGACGAGGAGAAAAAGTGCCATTTTGCAGATACTTTTGTTTGAGCATCAGAAAACAGACTAAAAGCGCCACCTGTTCGAAGTTTGGTTTTGCAGCAAATATTTTTTCGACATTGAGGTTGACAGCTAATTTGATACATAGCATATTTACATGTGTATGTTCACGATTACACAATAAGTAAATCTGTAATAGATATACAAGAAAACATATTGATCAAGAAACTTAACATGACGTGACAAATATTTCCATGCGGTTACATGCCTGGCAGGAACACTGTTGGTTTTGGAGCTCCTATCCTGTTTTGCTTCATTAAGAATCCAGACAAAGAGTACCAGTGCTAGGCAAAGGGAGTCACGGTGACATACCTGTCGGCACAAAAAAGGCACTTAAAAACTCACACACCCAGGAAATGGTGTGATGGTGTTTACCTGTTCCGGGCGCACCTGTTCCACGATTCATGTTGTGCCAAGGTGTGAACTAACACGAGTGAGGATGAAGATGTTGAACGTATTCTCTGTACGCACGTGTATGATCAATAAAGGTGTGACATCTTGCTGAACTGTGTATCGCTTCACCTCCGCATGACCTCCCCTGTTGCGCCCAATCTGACAGGGACAAGAACTGCAGACACGTGTATATTAATCATGTTCTCTTTCTGTCATATCCATTTGTTTGCATGGCTCCCCTCTCCTGACATCTTGCATATACTAACCGGTCCCCATCCTGTTCTCTGACAAGAAGAATTGCAAGAAAAGTGTGTTTCTACAGGTTACATATTCAAAATTTTGAAATGCCAACTGCCACCTTCTTAACCATTTATGTAACAGGTGGCTTTTGATACAAACAGACATGGGTTAGTAAATTTGGTACAGGAAGTTTTTGTGGGTTTATGAAAGGTCCTGCAATGGATGTGATGAAAAGTATATTTACAGAGATTAGAGGTGAAAGCTGACAAGGACGTTGTATAACACTGTTCAGCTCTATATATACAAATGTAGGTCTGGAAATGGTTTGAAAACTGTAGTTGGACATCTCACCTTGTTGAGCCTATAGTTAAAAATAATTAAAAGTTGAGGTCCCTATACATGGTATGCCCATATGTCTGTGACACATCATTAAATAAAATGCACTTTTTTACTCTTGGCAGAAAACTGCATGTTTTTCATTTTGATGGTCTAGTTTCCTTGAGCACTACAAGTCTTTGTTTTGTTCGTGTGGTGTACCTATCCATTATACATTATAGACAGTGGTTGTTAAGGCCTTAGGAACATGAAACTTTGTTAAACGTGCAAAATTTGAAGCGGCAAAGTGGAAGTGAAATTGCCTGCATAAAATTCATAGTGAGTGAAGTGAAATTATTCTGTGGTGTTGATAGGTATAATATCAGGTATTTAGTAGATGTTGCTAAGACGATGTTCTGCAATCCTCAGAGTTCAAGTGGGCTCGTGGCAGAACCCAGCAGAGGAAGTCATCTGTACCGGCCATATTCCAGAGGGGCCTGTCCAGGGACACCATCTTTGCTCAGGCGGGCAAGACCCCACCCTCCACACCTGAGACCACGCCCCCCGTCCTCAGGAAAGACTCTTCCCCCAGGCTGCTTCGCAGGGCATCTGTGAGTATACAATGTAGTATGGTGGAATACTGGAATGGCTGAATCATATAACATTGTCTAAAAATCATATGAGAATTGGAACAAAAATGAAGTATGATATTTTGTGTCAGGTCAGACAGTTAACAGGTCATCAGTCATTCAGGATATACATCTTTTTATAACTTTTTCATCTCATTTTCTTTGTGAGATTTCATTTCATTTACTGCATCATAGAACAAGCGCTTTTAAAAGAATTTTTTTATTCAGCATATCTAATTCACAAAAGGGTCATGGTTTACAGTTTAATGTGGCAACTCTGTGGACAGTCCTTCTAACTTGCCACAACACAAATCCTTTATACCTGACATAAAAGGGAATTAATGGCCATTGAAAAGTACTGCACATGTGGGAAATTACAGCATGGTGCAATGACTTGACCCTTGGGTAGCCTAGGTCACAAACTTTGGAGTTCCTAATGCTTGTATCCAATATGTGCTCTAACATGGGCCCTGGCCACTCAAACCTTTAAACGCTGATATCAATCACCAACCACTCCTTAATTAAACCTCAGAATGTACCATCTGGAGTAGATTTGTTGGACGGCTTGATTAGTTTATGATGGCCCTAACTCCGCGCTGGAAACGGGCAGACATTGTAGCGGTCAGTCGTCAGGTCTCTCCAACAAGATGTTTCACTTTACGAGAGGATGACTGTTATTGGTCCAGAGAGGATACGCTCTTCCTATCTCTACAATGTTGGTGCAATTGGCAGGGTAGAAGAACAGTTACTCGCTGGTCAGCCACATTGATACCTCAATTCCAAAGAGACGACCAGTAAAACGCAACGACTTAGGAAGCTTTGATACCACTATGGCCAGAAGCAATACACTTACACAATAAAAGCACCCTATTAGCTGATTATACTGCAAAGGAAAAGGATATTAGCAAGATTGTGGGTAAGTCTGGCCTTTCAAAGTTTGGACCTCAATCGATGCAGTCAATTCTCCCCCAGTATCCACTGAATTGGATCAATAGCAACTTAAGGAGATGGATTTTATGGTTGATTTAGCGCTTTTAATGGGGCAAACATGCCTGTCTTCTTCTTCCTTTTCAGGCCTCGAAGGTCATGCCACCGCCAAAGTTCCCCGCACCAAAGACCAAGAAGAAGGATAAGAAGGACAAGAAATCCAGGTAGATTTGTAGGGTGGGTTATGGGCAGCGACAGTTTACGGGTGTTTCGGTGACCCCCGGACACCGCGACATGCCAAATTACCATGTCTCTATGTCTCCTTACCTGTAATGGCATTTGCTTTCGTAATCCGAATAACTGTGCATTACTCCGGCAATATATCTAGGGGAAAGAGCTTTTGATTTGGCTTCAGGACCAGTCGTGGAGGATCTATCAGAGGGCTTTTTGGCTCAATTGGAAATTGCAGGAGTATTGGTCAATGGACTAATGTTTTCCTCCGGATGATACTGCATTAAAGGTTAATGGCACGGAAAATGTGGCCGCATTACCCTGGCCCTGGACGATAATTGGTTGTGTTGGAAATAGCAGAAAGCACTGACCAGGGAAGGTCATCATTCTGGCCTGATAACCAGCTCTCCCCCGCCCACCTGGTGTCTTCATGTTCTCTCATTAGAGTGCCCAGTCCTCTTCATTAATTGGCCTGGTGGACTCAGCCTGAGATCCACTCGGTCCCCCCAGTAGGACCACTTTAAACGTGAAGGGAAAAACTTATTACCAAAGTGCCCTTGATTGGGCTGAGGGCTTGGGCCACACTGACCACTTGGTTTTGCTAGAAACCACTATGTTCCTTTGACTTTCAAAAGTTCAGACATAAGCAGAAAAGTTATGAGTCTGATGTTACTTAGATTTAAACTTAAATGTACAATGTTTTCAGTGTACAATGTACATGCATGATGCCATATAAGCTTATCATATGTTTCAAAATCTCTTCTATGTCTATGTCATAGTACATGTCTACACTGTAAAGTGGTCTCATACCTAAAGTTAAACTTCAGTGCATTATACATTTGTACTGAGATCAAGAACAACCTCGAAAATGTCCATTGCAAGAGATTTTATGGTCTTACAAAATTTAGCAGCATTGGATGTTGCAAGCAACTACAGCAATGGCCGGGAGTAATGTAAATCTGCATTTGTATCACATGTTTCTTTAACCAATGTAAAAATAATTTTAGTTACTATTTACATTTACAAATGTCATAGCTCATGTAAAGTTTATATATACAAAACTTTGATCCATTAAAAGTTACCATGTCAATTCCCTCCAAAAACAAACCCCATGAGACATGAAGCTATCCACATGCTACACTCGAAGGTTAAAGATTTAGATGGTTTTCAAACATCACGTACAAGAAGTACCGGTAAGCCTCACTATGGCAAGTGCAGCAGAGATGAAAGGGCTGGACATGAGCATGGTTAAGGCCCGAGCAGCCAAATACCCGTTTTACATGCAAAACAGTGGTTACTGCAATTTGACACGATCTATATACCCTGTCATCTGAGAGGCGATCAGATTCATGAAAAACTTGCAGTGTCCCCTTGAACAGGGAACCCTGGTCATAAATCACAGGACGGGGGACTTACGCACCTGTCCGTATGAGTTGGAAGCCACGTATGTCGTTTTCATGCGGGGCACATCGCGGCCGGGAGATAAGGCGCCGAGGCGGACCTGTCATACTTTGACTTTTACCTTGTATTTCGCCAAAGTTTCACACAGTCCTTATCGTGATGGAAGGGGATCATGCCATGTTAGCATGAGCAGTGCTGTAATTACCACAAAAGGTCCAAGTGTGCAGCCGGATACTGGCTAATGGCAAAAACCAATCTCTCCCCACATCCTAGACATGTGATTCAGCATGCGATCAATACCTTTCATATTTCTAACATCCCTTCCTGCCAGTCTTATCGTAATGGGAGGGGTAGCCAGCCACTCATGTAATTGCGCCACAGAGTCTAAGAGTATTGGGAACTTTCTTCTTGTCTGTCTTACACTGATTGAACGCCAAGGCCAGACCCAATTTTTGGTGTCCATTTGTCGATGCAACCTTTGCTTCCTGAATCTACAAAGGTTCCTAGATTAAAGAAGAGGTAGTGAACGAGTCAAACAGCAGTTCTGTCAGCTTGGCTCCTAGAAGATCACAGATGGTTTTGACATTACAACTATCCTACAACTAAGAACATTTTTCATCAGAATGAAGGAATGGCATCATAAGGGCATCCAATAGTAAATATCCAACAAAAATGCAAGAATCTCTACACCTATTCGAAGACCATTGCAGATCCATTAACTCAAATATGTAGTCAAAGCAAAATATCCCAAATTTTCATAAAAGGGATCAGTACTTTCCCAAACTAAGCCAGAGAACATATTTGCAGAAATCAGCAATACGGTGTCTAATATTTTGGTTCCTTCTAAAGAGAAGTCATGCTGGTGGCAGTGAGGTGTGATATGGTGGCACCTTGTGCAATGAAAAGTTAGCTACTTAGGCAAGTGTCCTACAGGGTCAAGTTGCTACCTCAAGTGGTACTCCTGAAGGTTGCAGAAGTGATCTCTACACTTATGAAATGAATTGGACGGAGATTTATCAGGAGAAGAGGCCGTTAGGGTTAATTTGGACTTGAACTGGTATCAGCTAGTCTCGGACACGTTGATGAGCTTTTCCTTTATATCATTTTGCAGGGGTCTGCGGAAGGCTGAATCTGACCCTGACGTGACCGGTGGGTTTGCGTAGCAATCACGACAATGGGCAGTTTTAACCTTCAGTGGTCAACATGCACATTTTACTTCCAAGTACACTCTATGCATCATGCGTATTTTAAGTAGGTAAAAGAATATAAACCTATAGCTACGTGATATTTCATATTATCTATTTAACACTGGTCACCTCAATTTTGGAATGTCACTTTCCGAATTTCGAGACAGCTATTTTGAAACCCCTAATTTTCAACTTTGTTATTCCTGGATGTACAGTGAACTTTTGCATACCATTGGAAAGATCATGTTATCTTCAGTACCAGGTTGCTTTTTTATGGTCAGAATGCACAAATGTATGAAGATATTTGACTTTAAAAATTGCAAGCCTGGTGGTCTCGAATACACACCGCCAGTCCCAGCAGCTTAGCCTGGCAGTCCTAAACTTTAGCCCGCGGCCTGAGTTAGCCAGCCCGCATCCAGACCGCATCCAATTAGCCTCATGAACACCCCATGAAAACCACTGAATTAATGAGAATTCACATCTTCACACCTGTGTAATTAACAAGTTTGTGATAAATTCATGAGAGGTCTGGGCTCAATGGCTAGCCCGCGGGCCTGAACAGGCCTGTCGGTCTGTGGACAGGCTTTGCTGATGATTAGGCCTTATGATAGAGAACCTTCAGACTTTAAAAACACCAAACAGAAAGTGGGAAACAAAAATATGCTCCCAGATTGATGATGGTTTACACATAGTTTATCACTTCATATTAATAAACACCCATCACATTTTCAGCTAATATTTTCAATATCAAAGCATTTAAAATAAATGATTACATATTATTGACAAGTATGATGTACGGGTATGAATGATGATAACTTTCATGAATATTCATTTTGAAAATTTTCTGCAAAAGCTTCAGAAATTTCTGCTGGAAGAATTTACATGGGAAAAATAGTTCTGCTACAAGTACTAAGACTGCAAAAAGTCTCTTTCTAGTAGAAAGCTTTTTGAACATGTTTGAGGAGGTGGATTTGGCTCCTGTTGTGCTACCTGGGCTGATACCTGGGTGGGGTGTAACATTTGTGTAACGGTTATGACTAAAAAAAGATAACATCACAAAAGACCCTTGTCTCAGCAAGAACACTTCATATTAGACCTGATTGGTTGTGGTGTTGGAAGCCAAATTTTGAGGACACTTTATGGTCACTTACAGTTTCGGTTTGGCAGGTATAGTCCAATCTGTCCTACCATGGATGGGCAACTCCCTGGCCAAATCCCTTTGAAACATCATGGAGGTAGAATTTTTTTTTTTTTTAAGAATGAAGACCTTTATTGCACCAAGGAGGTTTAACCTCCTTGATTGCACATTTCTGCCACACTTGGCTATTGGTCACAACAAAACAAGATGAATGTACATGGTTAACAGATAAACAATAACTCCATGAAAACATTTAAATCAAAAGGAAAATATTTGGAGTTTTAGTGCCATAATCCTGCCATGTATAAGCCTCAGCCGATGTACACTGAAAACATAAAAAGCAAGGATCCTCAATTTGCAACATGAATTTGCTTTCAGTGCAAGGAGTTGTATAATGCTTTAGGAAATTCTTGTTACATTTTCTTTTGTAATTATTCTGTTCCTGCACCTTTGTAATGCGGGTCATACCTCAGGTCACCTATTGTTCCAGGCATGCAAATGACCACTGTCCAATTATCAAATTAGAGAGTCTGGTCGGGCTACCCTGACATGGGTGCACTGGCACTGGCTCAATAGCCCGAAAAAATATCCTATCAGAAAATCTCATGACATTGTAATGACACTGTGTCAGATGGCATGGGTTCACACACTGAGAACCATGTCTTGGCCAAATCTTTCTATCCCACAACTAGTTTGTAGTATCATGATTAGATTAGATTTAAATTATGAACAAAAAATTAATGATGAGAATCTTTACAGGATTTGTAATAAGTCTAAAATACAATTTAATTGGAAGTGCTTGCGCAAGGCCTAGAGTCAATTCTATATTGCTATATTCCACATTACAAATTGTAACCATTTCAAAATTAAAACACCACAATGTTTCTAGGTAATTTCAAAAGTATAATTTTAAAAAAATAGAAAATTTTCTAATTGTTACAATATTTGTGAAACATCTCAAATAGATATGAAAAGAGCTGTTCATTCAGTTTGGATATTTCCCCAAAATTTAGGAACATAACGTAAAATGCTTGTACAGCGCAGGATGTACATGTATGATAGCAGACCAGGTAGCCTGGGTGTAAGAAACGGGCGAGCAGTAGCGCCTATAAACCCCCCACTGTTACATGGGTACCAGACTGCTGCCAGGCTAGCTCCTTGGCTCCTGGAGGGCCAACATTTGCCCAAGGAAATGTCACCATAGAGTGATAATAGACATCCCTCAATAAGCCTATGAATTACATTGTAAAGGCTTGTTATCCCCTAGACACAAAGAACACAGTTTCTTTAAAAATGGGTGACAAAAGGGGAGGGGAGGTGATTATGATAAAATAAACAAGTTCTAACTTCCAAGCAACAACTTGAAGCAAGGAGGTTAAATACTTGTATTTAACCTCCTTGCTTGAAGTTAGTCTCCAGTCAGAATCTGATCAATGTTAGACCTGTTTACAACTGGAGAAAGGGGAAGCAAAAGCATTCATTGAGTTATCAGACTGCATGAATTTTTATGAAATACAAAAAATCAGATGATCATTGATCAATTACTAAAGGTGACCTTGAGAGAATATTGAATCAGATGTAATGTTGTAATTTTATAGAACAGGATTCTTCTTCAAGTGAATGAGTCTGAGAAACAAGTAATGGCATTATATTTGTCTCTATGGCCGGCCAACTCCTCTGGCCAATGATGTTCCCCCAAGCCAATTGCTACTATTTATTTAGCCTGCAAAGGAGTCTGGTGGGAGACTACATTATATTGGTGTGGCCTAACAGTTGTATATATTTATTATACAGTCATTCCTGGGAAGGATTCTATCTGCAGGAATCTACAATGTCTTAGTAGGTTTTTCCTGCAGAAATTTCCTGCAGGAAGAAAATTTTCAAAATGAATTTCCATGCATGTTATCATTCATACCTGTCCAATTATCAAATTAGAGAGTCTGGTCGGGCTACCCAGACACAGGTGACATGGTCTTTGCAGCTTGCACTGGGTAGCTCAATAGCCCGAAAAAATATCCAATCAGAAAACCTTATGACATTGTATATAATGACAGTGTCAGATGGCCTGGGTTCACACGCTGAGAACCATGTCTTGGCCAAATCTTTCTATCCCACAACTAGTTTGTAGTATTATGATTAGATTAGATTTAGATTATGAACAAGAAATTAATGATGAGAATCCTAGTTTTATTTTTTAAGATAGTCGGTCATCTTTTCAGGCTCCTACTGGGTGACCCAGTAGTCAAGCTGCCCAGATAGGGGTACTGTAATTCGACGTGTAACTCAACAACAGTCCAACTTGATAATTGGACAGTGGCATTTGCATGTCAAGAACAATAGCTAAACTTAGTTTCATCCCGCATAACAATTGTTCCTTGATCAGAATAATTACCTGAGAACTGTTGAACCATGGTTGAACAGAAATGGACTGAGGATTTTATAACTCCATTGCTTTGAAAGCAGGTTTAAGTTGCAATACATGTATTAGGCTTCTTGCTTAATATACTCGGCTGATATACTAGAATTTTGTCCGGCAAAACTGTCTAACATAATTTCCCCAATGTTTCAACTGAACTGAACTGAACTTCAATGACATTCAGGATGCTCATGAGAAAAAATTGTTTCATTTTCTACCCCTAGCTGGTACAGAACGTGTTTGTAAGCTCTTCTTTCTTTTTGTGGTCTAGTTGAAAGAGCATGCAAAGCTGAGTGAGGTTGAAAGCGGCAAAAATGTACAACACTGTTAACAGATGGGTGTGGATTATGCTCTCCTTCCTTATTTTCTGCTCTGAGAATGAAAGTTTTACACATCACTTGGATCAGACCGCGGGCTGAGATGTAGTCCGTGAGGTCTGAATCCTTACCCCACCAGGCTGAAATTGGCACAGACAGTCTGCAAACATCAATCAATTCACGCCTTCCATGCCATTGTTTTGGGGGTTTTGCACCTTTTTGACCAGAATTTTCAGCCCGCGGGGTGGAGTTGGCCTGACGGTCTGAATGGTTTTTGAGTAAATCAGCCCGCGGTCTGGGGATCTAGACCTGTAGTCTAGTGCCTTTAGACCGAAGGTCCTGTAATTAAAACTTGCGGGCTAGTTGTTAGGCCTGACGGGCTGTTAGGAAAGACCACCGGTCTGCTTGTATTTATTATTAATGATATCTTAAGTTATGAACACTGCAGAAAAATAATTTTCATATCACTGTGCTCATTACACCAAAAGCTACACACTGATGTGAAACTTGAATGTTGAAAATCAATTTTTACTTGAGTTTCCAAATGCCTTGTGACTTTCCAAAATTGATGCGACCAGTGTTATTTCTATGTTTCATAAATTTCTTTATATGTCAAGTAATACTAAGTATGCTATAATGTGAAAGTCGTGTTAATCAATTTGAAGTAGGATTTACCATGATGCGGGGATGAAAGTGCCAATGTTTGAGATTTGTCATGTCACACATAGATATCAGATTTAAAAAGTGTGAATAATGCTCTAAGACTTACATGTATCAATAGTGCATTGTAAGTCTTTACCCTATGTAAAGTGTCTATATAGGATTATTTTAGAATGAAAGTGCCAATGTGTAAGAGTTGAAATTTTTGTAGATATACTGATGAAGAAGTTTATTATAGTTTATTATATTATAGTTAGAAGAGTCCCCACGGAGACTGGCTCTGCAGTTGAACAAAGGTGGAAGTTAAAAGTCTGAATGTCCATATATATATACCATAGATTTGAAGGTGTTCAAGGAGTCACTATAAATTGTACATGTAACTTTACATATACATTGTAGTCAGTCCAGAAAGTTTGATTATGTTTGTAGTGTTGTAAAGCTGAAGAGCATTTGCCAAAATGCAGTCTTTTGATGCCAGGAAAAGTTATGTATTTCTTAGCAGGAGATAGAGATGGACACTGCCCCTATGCAAGAAAGGTGTTGTATGAAG